ATACATAACATACACACATGTATACAGACAGACAGACACAAATAGAGGGGTTATAACTGCAATTCTAAAATTTCAACTCACTGGTTCATGTAAAAGAATGGGATCCTGTCTTTATCCCACTGTTATACTTTTACCAGGATTGTGTTTCTGGCAGAGAGGGCAAGTTGAGGTAATCTGCTCAACATGAGAGGTGAAGTGTCCTCACCAGTATTTGTGGAGGAGATCCTTTAAGAGTTCCTTTGCCCTGATGTGTGATCTGATGGAAGCCATGGACTAAATTTTGGGCTAGGAGCCGAGGAGGACCAAGCGGCTATCCAGGTGTCTCCAAAGACCATCTAAGTGGATAAAATATCCATCCTGTTTCCAATTAGTTTTCCAGCCTCAGGTGATTGCTCTTCAGGTCCTTGAGACCCTTGAGAACCACTGATGAGGAGAGAACCACCTAGAGCCCAAGTGACTCTAGGGAGTTGAGGGGCCAGAGCGGGAAGGGAAAGGTATGGCAGGAGTGGACAGAGGTGTGGAAGAGGTAAAGGTTTTGAAGGGAAACAGATCAAACAATTCAAGGAAGTTTAAGGGAAGTTCAGATTCAGTAAAAATGAGGAAGAAGGAGCAGCGAGGGGCAGGGAATGATGGGCAGGGAGAGATTCTAGATGAGAACCTGATTGGGGAGTTTCCTAGTTTCCCAAAGAAGTCACTGAAGTTTCAAGTGGTCTTTAGTAAACTTTGTCCATTACTAAAGATATTGTACTGAATTGTGCCATCGTGGCAAAGTATGTAGTGAGTGGGAGAAGAGGCGGGAGGGTGCCAGATGGAGAGAGAATTACTGTTATGAACTGAATTGTGTCCCTCCCAAAAGATATGTTGATGTCCTAACCCTGGTACCTGTGAATGTGGCCTTATTTGGAAATAAAGTCTTTGTGGGTGTAATCAAGTTCAGATGAAGTGATTAGGGTGGGCCCTAATCCAGTATGACTGGTGTCCTTATAAGAAGAGTAGACAGAGACACACAGGGAGGAGATGGCCGTGTACGACAGATGCAGAGATTGAAGCACTGCAGCTGCAAGCCAGGGAATGCCAAGACTTGCCAGCAAACACCAAATGAGAGGATGAGGTACGGAAGGGTCTCCCCCAGAATCATCAGAGGAAGATGGCCCTGCCGACTTTATTTCAGACTTCTAGCCTCCAGAACTGCGGGACAACAAGTTTCTATTGTTTAAAGCCACCCAGTTGTACTATTTTGTTATGATCGCCCTAGGAAACTAATACAGTTAGTTACCCATGGGATTAGATAATTAAATCTGACGTAAAACCTTAAAGAAGACAGGAAAGATGATACTCCTTGTATTACTGCTTTAATGCTCCTTGCATAATCCAATCCAAAGAATCCTCCTTTGTTCAACCTTTATTTGAGGAGCCAAGGGAATTTCCTCACAAAATCTCTGCTAGAGGAAGCCTTGCAGAAGAGCCAGAGAAAAGTCCTTAGCGTGTTACGACAGACAAACGTCCAGAGCACTGGATTCAGGAGTTATGACTCACCACCGTGGATCCCATATCCCCAGGACACAAAGGGCATAAATACCTGGGGGAAGACAGCGGAGTCCAAGGGATGGTCCGCACTGCATCTGAGACACGGCACCAGAAAACTGTCAAAGAAAAACAAATCCAGATTTAGGTACAGGGAGACTTTATTTAAAAACACTATTGTAGGTGGTTGTTAGGGACTCAGGGAGGGGAAGGGAAGTGGAGAGTTACTGTTCAATGGGTACAGAGTTTCAGTTTTGCACGATGAAAAAGTTTTGGCGATCTGTTGCACATCAATGTGAATATACCTAACACCACTGAACTGTACACTTAAAAATGGTTAAGATGGTAAACTTTATGATATATGTTTTTTACCACAATTAAAATAATTATTATAAAAAAGAGAAAAGACCTACTTATAAGATGAAGAGGGGGCCTACTGCAATACAGAGAACACTGACCACAAGATCTGTAAGCATCTCAAAAATCAGGCAGAAAATGGCTTTTTCTTTTATAGAAAGGAGTAACTCAGGCTAGAAGGAACTGAGTGTTGGGAGTGGGGTGAGCAGGTGTGTGACTGGACAATCGATCAGGGAAAGTCTTTGTGGTCAGCTTATTTTTGGAGAGGTCGTTAAGGATGGGCTGGTCTGTATTCTGATGCTGGCTCAGGGTGAAGGCGGGTCAAAGTTCAGGGGCCTGTCTGGAGAGGAGAAGCCTGAGTAGAGTTTAGACAAGACGCATTAGTGGGTATTTTGTCCATATCTGTCAGTGGGGACAAACAGTTCAGCTGCTCATTTGTAAGACACAGAACGGGCGCTTAGCGAGTCTGTGTCTAGCCTCATCCTAGGTAAACAGAGGAATTATCCACATTTGAGGAAGGGTGGTTCTTTGCCGTAAGCCTTTCCCTGGAACACAAGGGGTAGGAGATTTCTTATACAGTGCTGTTTTCCAGGAGCACAGGATTCAGGTAAAGTTCAACATTGTCACGCCCCACTGCAACTGCTCTCCCTCCCTCCCCCAATCCTCACCCTGACAGCAAGTTTCTGAATTGTGAGGTTTTTTTTTTTGGTGAGGAAGATTAGCCTTGAACTCAGATCCAATGCCAATCCTCCTCTTTTTGCTGAGGAAGATTGGCCCTGGGCTAACGTCCGTGCCCATCTTCCTCCACTTTCTATGGGACGCCGCCATAGCATGGCTTGACAAGCAGTGCTTCGGTGGGTGCCCCGGATCTGAACCTGCAAACCCTGGGCCGCCAGCTTGCTAACTTAACCGCTGCGCCACCATCGGAGTTATGTTTTTGAAGGAGTGCTCTGCTGAAGTTGGTTAGCCTCATCCTCACTCATAAGGGCTCAATAAGTGTGAGCTATTGTTTGTATGTTCCTGGCACCATGCTGAGGATGTGGCATGCCTTATGTCACTTATTTCTTGAAATAACCTGATTAGGTGGGTGGAGGTTTTAATTGCCATTTTACAGATGAAGAAACTGAGACACAAGGAGAGTAAATAACATGACTAATGTCACATTGCTAACGTCACATAGCTAATATATTCGTTTCCTGGGGTTGCTGTACAAATGACCATAAACTTGGTGGCTTAAAACAATAGAAATTTATTATCTTATTTCTGGAGACTAGAAGTCCAAAATCCGGGTGTCAACAGGCCATCCTCTCTCTGAAGTCCCTAGGGCAGGATCCTTCCTTGCCGTTTCCTAGCTTCTAGTGGTTGTTAGCAATCCTTGGCGTTCCTTGGCTTGTAGACACATCAGTCCAGTGTCTGTTTCCTTTGTCACATAGTGTTCCCAAATAAGGCCACATTCACAGGTTAGGAAAGGAGGTTAAGACTTGAATACATCTTTTTGAGGGACACAATTCAGTCTACAACAGCTGATAAGTGGTGGAGCTATGGTTCTGGATCACTCCCTAGTCATGTGCAGAGTGGGGTGTTCATGCCCCAGGGACCAGTAAAAATGAGCCATTAGGAGTGTTAAGAGAAGATGAGAATGTCTATTTATTTTTAAATTATATCTTTTAAAAATTTCTATTTGTGTTTTATGATGCCCATAATATATTTACAATAGTACATGAATATATTCTACAAAGATACACACATTTAGTGGATACTCAAAAATGTTAAACTGATCTGATAAGGAAAAAAAAAATTAAAGCCCTGTACCTACTCTACTGACTCTCACCTATCTGTTAAACTGGTGGTCACTGGTGTATTACATTCTCTTCTAACCAATTGCCTCAGCAGAATAACACTCCACTGTGTGAGGTTTGTAGTGAGGTGTTCTAGCTTCCCCACTTCCAGTATTTAAACCCTCGAGAAACGGTTTGGAAAAAGAACAGTTACCAGGCCTGAGCCAGGGAGACACAGCTGGAACGTTAAGAACGAGGCAATTTGACAAGCATTTATTCCCTTCAATTTGTATCTTTATACATTTCAATAACTTTTGTCTCATTGTCAGTTTTCTTTTAACACTTCAGGCAGAGCTAGTGCTTAATATAATTTAGGTCTGAAGACACGCTGTTAATGGTCTGAACAATTCGATATCAATTCTTGGGGGAGGGGAAACGTAGACTTGGACTTTTTTGAAATATAGCTCTTCAAAAGAGGAAAGCCACTACACCCCAGGATCCAGGTCGTCATCACACTTCCGTTCTTTGGACTTCGATTCTACAGGTTCCCTTTTGTGTTTGATAAATCCCAACATCCACACACACATACACTTCCAGGACTTATTTTGGGATGCTTAAGGGAGAGAGACTGATATGCTCACAGAGAAACAAATCTCATAAAATTGTTAATGTACATTTGAAAATCCATTTGTTTATATATTTTATTTTATTATTATTATTTTTTAAGATTGGCCCGGAGCTAACATCTGTTGCCAATCTTCCTTTTTTTTTTTTCTTTTTCTTTTTTTCTCCCCAAAGCGCCAGTACATAGTTGTATAACCTAGTTATAGGTCCTTCTAGTTCTTCAATGTGGGACGCCACCTCAGCATGGCTTGATGAGTTGTGTGTAGGTCCATGCCCAGGATCCGAGCCGGTGAACCCCGGGCCGCTGAAGCTGAGTGCGCGAACTTAACTGCTAGGCCACTGGGCCAGCCTCTGTTTATATATTTTAAAAATGAGGAAGTCAAAGCAAACAAGACAAAAATGTATAAATTTGAGAAGATATTCAGATATCCATGGAAAAGAATTACTCAGAAGAATGAAGGATGGTATATAACATTAAATGAGACGTGGCCTTTTCCAAGAGAGTAAAAGTAAGCATATTTTTATGAGTTGATTGTTTAACTCTTAGAACATTTGACATAGGGCCTATTAATTGTGGAGGGGCTGATCCCCTCCTCATGGGTTATTTGAGCTCCTTTGTGGGCCAAAGTATATTTTTTGTCATAATTTATCCCACCTGTGTCTGTCAATTCCTTTCTGCTTGTCTCCTCCCGTGATAGTCTGGCTCATGTTTCTTCATAAAGCTCTAAGCCAGTTATTAATAACAGCCCAGTGAGTCTCCTGATCCAGCTAGGAGCATATGGTGTTTTTCACAGAAGAGAGAGATCATCTCCTTGACTTTGGACTTCGCTTTTTGAACGCTTGAACAGTAAGTTTTTTAAAAATGTGGGATTTAAAAATGTTGATGTAGGAGAAAGGTTGGTGTGATTCTTGTTTGCTTCTGGTAGAGGGAGAATATAGTAAGACAAAACTTAGACTCCTAAATCCTATTTCCCCTCTCTGCATTTCAACATCTCTCCAATTTTTACAAGGCTTATTATAAGATAGATTAATTAATTAGAATTCTATTCCTTTCATTTCCTTCTGGCTAAATAAAGGCAGGAGGAGAAGCAAGGGATTCATAATATCTAAATTACTTGACCAAGCCTTGTGGCTGTGCCTGCTATTCCTGTCTCCCGGTGTTTCCTCTCCAAATAGAGGATTTCAGTGATTTCAAAGAGAAATTTCACATATGGAAAGTATCTGCAGGGGAGTGTTGGAGAGGAGACTTGGGCCTTGTCATTTTTCCGTGCTTGAGATTTGGATCAGAGACGGCGCCTGTCTTGTTCCATGGATTCATTGCCTTCTGTTTTTTTTTAGCCAAAGGCTTTGTCTTAGCAGCCTTTTAAAAAATAATGGTTGCTTTTGAGAGTCCTGCAAAGTAGGTCACTGTGTTTGCTGTCTGGAAAAGGAGGACCCTGAAGCCCAGAAATACGGATGCCCTGCTTGGTCCTTGTGAGCAAAGATGCAACCTGACGCTCTGGCCCTTCTTCAGGACTATGGGCTAGCATAGTTTTCTGCTATGGCTACATATGTTCAATTCTCTTGAACATGTGCATTAGGTTTCTAAATAAAATGTGTAAGGGAGGCATTACAGTGAATTGGAAGGAGGCAGATGCCAGCCTGGTATTGAGCCCTGGCTTGGACCACTAACAAATTGTATGACCTTAAACAAGTATTCAACCTCTCTGAGCCTCAGTTTCCTTGTTTGTGAAATGAGAGCCATAATCTGTTATGTAGGGTGGTGGGGTTTACTTATAACCTGTATAAGTGGTCAAGTATGGTAACATTACTTAAGAAATCCTTCATTTCGATTTTTCCTAAATCTCCTTAATGATCTCTCGTTTGTTTCAAATTCAAACCTAGAGCCTCTAATGTGGTCTTTGTTGGGAAACATTAATCTAAACTGTAGAGACAATGATTGGCTTTTACTACTTTTAATAACTTCATCTTTAGGATGGTGTCTGTGCGAATGCTAAGAGTAGGAGCATTGGAGGATGGTATAGGGTTAGCAGTTCAGGACATTAGGCTACAGCTGAGATCCACAGTGATGGGAAATTTTCCAAAACAATTTCAAAGCATAAGCTATTATTAATAAATTTGCCTGCTCTACTATAATCAGCATTCTAAAACTTTTCTTTTCCTTATGTGCTTCTATGGTTCCAAAAGACTGGTAGATTTGACTCTGTCTGGATGAAACAGAAAGGAGGGTTATCTCAGAGAATACCTGCTTCCCAAAGTGCTACCCTGTAACTCGGGAGATAGGATGAGATTTTTGTTTTCCTTTACAAGCTTTCATTCTGCAAACGTTTATTTAATTCCTACTGTGGGCAAGTGTGACCCTTAGGATAGCAAGGGGTCAATAAACTAAATATAGTAGGAGAGAGAAGTTATTTCATGAAGAACTCTGATTGAGAGTGAGAAAGGGCTTATTCCACGGTACATGAGAAGTACAGCCAGGATACTATAGGTATTCCACAGGGGCTTCACACCCAAAACTTACTCACCGAAAATAGGCATTGTTGGTCAGACTTTCCCTTGGAAGGCTGTACTTTCTTGGAAAATGATTTAGTGATTTTCAGCATTCCGCCTTGGGTTCACTTTCTAAGTAACAAGCTTATGAGGCATAGAAGAACAGCACCTTAAAGTCACATCTCATCCTCCCCCCCAGCCCTCCAATGTTTTTTGTTGAGCGTCTATTTTGTTCCAAGTCCTGTGCTAAATGCTGGAAATACAATTCTGCCTTAAAAGAGGTCACAGTCGTTCATTTAACTTGAAATTCTGTTCTCCAATCTACCTTCTCAGCTAAACTTGACTCCAAATAACGTTTAGCTGGTTTCAGAAATCAAATCTGCACTTTAACAGATAAAAAAATCATCACCAATGAATTTATGCGGGGAAATGTGTGTTGCAAAACAAGAAGATAGTTTAAAAGTTCTTGCTAAATGCTTTTTAGAACTCAAATGGGTCCAGAGATTCTCCATGCTCCTTTACTCACCAACCCCAAACCTGGGATGACACTTGTTTGGATATATGAGTTCTGTAGACAAAAAACAAAAACCTAATAAACAAACACTCTCAGTCCCACTCCTGCTTCCTCATAGCATGAAAGGACAAGTGTTAGATGACACTGCTGTGTTGTGGCTTCTGGTTGAAGCCTTGCAGGTCTGGTCCCCAGCCAGGGCTCTGGGCAGTTCATCTGGCCTTGTAAGAGTGCACTACAACTGTGATTCATGGAGAGGGTTGGGGAACTTGGCAGCGGGGAGGTGGAAAACATTTTCATTATTTTGGTTCCAGAATATTTCTTAATGTTAAGTGCCGGTAACTGAGTAATTGATGTCTTCTTAGGGGCAATGCGCAATCTCCTATTTGGGGCAGGTATGTGGTAGCGGGAAATCGCAGCCTTCAGGAGTCTTGTTAGTGGATGATTAAGAGGAGATGTTTGTTCATGTGTGGAAAAATAGTTCATTTTAGTGCCAGAATATTTACCGAAAGCGTTTGAGGCACGGTCATAGACGGCTTAGGAAGGCCCAAACTGGACAGGCATTGACATGAAAAGGAAGCGTGCGAGGTACAGAGAAGAGAAGAGAAATAGAGTGTTCCGCATGAGGTGATCGGTGGACCCTCATGAGTGTTGCCAGGCAAGCCAGTGCCCTGCTGTCCACACATCTGTGTGGCTGCCTCAGCTTCTCAGGCCTTTCCATCTCTTAAGTCCGTTTGTTTCCTCTCATCCCTCTGAGCCACTCATCTCTCTTCGAGGTAGTTGAGCTGCAGGGAAGTGGCCATATTTCTGATTCTGCCGCTTCATCATACCAACCACTATTTTATCGAGTGCCAAGCAGCATGCTGGGCTTTTGGCTTACCTTTTTACCAATCCTGAGATACTGCAGTAGCTAAGGCTTTGGAGCCGAACAGACCTCCATTTAAATCCCTGGTTAGTCCTTACTTAACCTCTCTGGTCTTCAGTGTCTCCAACTAAGGAAATAGGAGTGTTAATGACTCACCTCATAAGGTTTTATGAGATTAAAATCAAAGCAAGTGTAGGCCCTTCTTAACTGTAGTTACGAATAAAATCCTTTCAAATTGCTGCAAGACAGATATTATATCTGTTCTCCAGAAATGAGGGAGGGCCTGGTCCAAGGCTACAGAGCTAAGATCAGCCAGAACCAGGATCTAAAACCAGTTCCATTTGCCTCCAAAACCTATACTCTCTCCCCACTCCACCTTGCTGACCAACCATCTGTGACAAAGCTCATGTTTTTGTTTTCAACTGAAGTCCACTTTGTCAAGTTCTGTGCCTCATGAGTCTGACCTGCCAAGTTTTTCAGTTTTCACTTGTGACTTTCTTTATTCAAGGCTCTCTGGTCTTACTTTGGCCTGAATCAAAGACATTGGGAGGTGACGAAAGTAGAATATCTCCAAACAGCCAAGTCTGGTGAAATGCAGAATCCAACTTATCACAAATGTCAAAAAATTGCTGAGGCAATTATGATAGTAGCTCTGAAGAAAAGTAACTGTGTGACCTCAGACAAGTTGCTGTACTTCTCTGGACTTCATTTGTCAAATGAGAAGTGTACAAAATCTCAAATATCTTTTCCAGCACAAATGTTTCTATAATATTTCAGACCTTTCACTGCTGTTGTTTTTCTTAGATAGAAAGAGAAAACTCTCCTTGAAATCATATCATAATCAGGAAACAGGGTACAAAAATCATTCTTGCAATCATTTAAGTGTAAAGTCCTATGCCATTTAATATGATTCTCATTGAAGCTGTATCTCATACAAGGCTCATATCATTGATGAGTTAATTTCTCAGAAGTGTGTTAAATTCCCTTTCGCATATAATTCAGCATTGGGCAGAATCAAATGGAGTCTTAATTAGTTCAAAAAATGCAACTTGAACTCAAATTTTAGAAACTTACAGAACACACAAAATCCATTTACCATTGAATATGCCCAAATTTGCAGTTAACTTCTGAATGACTCAAATTTGAGGAGTTTACACTTCCTGCTGCCGCACCAGCATCCATTTCTGGAGTTTTAAGGGGATAAATTTCCATTATGCAGTAGTAATGGTAGCCATCCCAACAAGACACTTCTATCCTAAAACCCTGTACGGCCAGTGCCAAATTTTTGTTGTCTTCCAACAACTTGACTTGGTTCCCTAATTACAAGCAAAAAACAAACAAAAGCAAAAACATCAAGACATAATTACCATATGATTTATCAAGTTTCTAAAAGATAATTTTATTCAATATAAATTTTATAGGAAAGAGACATTTTCCATATGGAGATAAATTGAAAGCACCCAACTTTGGGATTTAATTTTTAATATATTTGCTGGGAAAAGTAGACTTAATATATGTGTTTTTCTTGTTGTGATTGTCATTTACACAAAATGAACTCTCAGTCTTCCAAGAAAACTTCTACTTTATGTGCAGTTGTTAAATCATTATTTGTTGAAAACTAATTAGCTTTGGAACATGAGGCACTGGGATCCGAGATGGGTAAGGCTGTACCCACTTTCTAGAAAGATAGCAACTGCCTATGGGATGGTGCATGCAAACAAATAACCGTAACACAGTATAGTGAGTTGCAATATATTACAGACAAGTGGGCAATAAATTCTGCCTGAGGAAGTCAGGATGGGTCACAGAGGAGGTAACAAAGATTTCAAAGGATGAGTAGGCATGTGACAGTTTTGTGTGTTTAGGTGCTTAAAGAGAACTTGAGGGGAATGAATCACTCAAGGGGTACCATCCAAGAGGTAATATGCTAGACTATAATTAATAATAATAGTCCCGATCGCTTATTAAATGTTTACTTGCTAAGCACAAATATTTCTCTTTTAATTTTTACACTACCCTAAGAAGTAGGTACTATTATTATCATCCCCATTTTATAGAAGTGCTAACTGAGGCACAGAGAGTTCATGTAACTTGTCTAAGGTCTCAAGGTAAGTGGCGGATCTGAGTCAAACCCCATCAGTCTATTCCAGATCCATCTCTCAACCACCACGCCCTAGAAGCATTCTCGTTATATCTCTGTCCAGCTAATGTTAAGGAGGTCAAGGGGAGAAACTTGTTAGTCATAAGTTGATCAGTGGGTAGATAACAAACAAGAATAAAATTGCAGATAGTAAAAGCTAATAAAAAATAGATAAAAAACTGTACTTTGAGCTAACCTGGTTACTAGACAGTAAGCACGTAGTGGCTGTTTGTGAATATTCCATCTACAAAGAGCAGATTGTTTTGATGTGAATAAACTAACAACTGGCTGTTGAAAAGATATTCTGGCAAATTCAGGGTTATCAGGCCCAGAGGGGTAACTGCAAGACTATCCATCCCATTGTTCAACATATTCAGTTCACATATACAGAAAGGAGCCAGGACCGAAGAGGAAGAGTAGCCATTAATAATTATATGTGGATATTTTCATTTCAGTATAGTCAGTTTCCATTGTAATATAGATCTTTTCAAAAGTAACTTTTCCTTTAAAAACATTAAAAAATCCATGTAGTTGAAAGAGGTGGCATCTGGGGCCTGGAGTCCTGGGTTAATAGCATGTAGGCTCCAACATAGAATACTGAGTAGCCTTGGGCAGTTCTCCATCTCCCAAGAGTGCATAATCACAGCCTGGCATATACTAGACCCTCAATAAATGGTAATTATTCTACTTTACTTAAGTGTCCTATTTCAGCAAAAATGAACAGATTTCAATTATGTCTCATTTTTCAACATGTGTCTCTAGGGCACTTCCATCAATATTATCTTGACCATTAGATATTGATGGAAACAAAGAGTAAGATTAGCAAATTCTTGTCAAAAAAGAAAATATTTTTGAAATGTGACTCATGTGTTTAAGACTATAAACTTGAATCCAATGAAAAGTGTTTTTCTTTCTATTGAAAAAGAGACTTTGCAAAGTATGTTCTGTTCTTTGTCTTGACCAAGAATCCACGCCTAATAAGGCGAAATAGTAGAGGTTGAGAGAAATCAAGAAAAGGGTCAAGTCTTAGTACTAGTAATAATTTTATATAATAGAGGGTTTTTTGTTTGATTGATTTTCATTATTTTGTTTTTGCTTAGGGACCAAGACATTTAGCACATGCACTCTTCTTATAGTCCCAGGAGTCTGAGTTGATTTGAGAAAACTTGTTTTATATAAAAACAAAATTTTAAAGATTTTAAAGGCAAGAGCATACAAGCTGACGCCAGAGTGAAGAAAGAGAATACGATGAAGTTCAACTCCCAGAGACCAAAGATTACTGCTACTCTCCATTTGTCTAAGTTATATTCAACTAGTCAATAAACAATGAACAAGTCAATTTGAATTAGATTGTTTGGACTCTTGATGGAATTACAAGAAAAAATAAAGACAAATTTTAAAAACTAGTTGAGAGAGTATTCATTCTATTTTCAGTACAACATTCTACAAAATAGTAAATTGATTCCCAGTGCCTTCCGGAAATAGGGAAAAGAGAGGTAGGTAGAGGCATTCAAATGGGAGGGGGAATTATTTGCAGTCATCTGAAATTTCAACATGAAATATATTTGGCCCAAAATAACCTAGGATATCTTATATCAGAAATTGGAGGTGATGTTATTTTAGCTACGATTTTTAAACACTGCGTTCAAAATAAGAACATGGTCTTGAGATAGTCACACTCAATACAGTCTAGCATACTATTTTAGAAGTGTCCTAAGTTGTTTGAAATTTATTTATATTTTTAGTGCATAAACAACACTAAAAATCATGTTTTTCCTGAAAATTGCTTTTGTTAAATAGTTTTTCCTCCAAAAGAATGTCCCTGCAATCCCAAAGAAAAAACACTTGATTACCAAGTTTCTAGGGAAGTAAGTAAGAACAAATTAGGTAAAATGTAAATCAAAGTACTGTGACATACATAATTTTAATCCACAGTAAAATGAGTGTGTTAGTAAACTTACGATGATATAAATTTGTGTCCTTCCAATGACTTAGGTCTAGAAACAGATTTAACATCAAGAAGAGCCGAACAGGAACTACCCACATTCCTGTTTCTCAGGAGCATTTTGAATGAGACAAGAACATGTTCTTTAGCAAAAGACACTTAATATGAACTCAAGGAAAATTAAATTTATCAATGAAACATTTGAATGAAAATATTTGTTAACATGATTGGTTTGACAAAATTAAAATCAGTGCACATTACTTTTCAAGAGGCAGAGAAGGAAGAGGACTAGCAGTTATGGGACTACTTTCTTTAGTTTTCTGAAGTTATATAAGCATCAGCCAGTTAAATGAAAATGTGAGAAATGGAAAAAGCAAGGGAAAAGAAAAATCACACGAAGTTCTTTCACACAAACCGGACCACCCTGACCCCTATTGACATTTGTAGATATTTCTGTTTTCCTTTTTTAATATTGCAATTGTGAAGTCTAACTTACATACAGAAAAGCACATAAAACTTCTATGTGCGGTTTAACAAGTAGTTAAAAAGTAATTGTCAATGTAACTACCACCCAGGACAAGAAATGGAGCTCCCGACCTATCCCTTCCCTTCCCCTCACTGAAGTCACCACTCCTCTGATTTTATGGTAGCCAATCCCTCGTTTCTCCTTACAAATTTACCACCTACACCATTGCCACCCATATATGCACCCCTAAACCATGCACTTTAACTCTGTTTTTCTACTTTACATAAATATTCTTGCATGATGTGTTTTCTTTTGTGTCTTGCTTTTAAAAAATTCAATATTATGTTTGTAAAATTCACCCCTGTTTTCGTATTTAGCTGTAGCTTACTTTTCATTATTGTATAATATTCCATTATATAAATTTATCTATCTACCTACTAATGGGCACTTGGGTTGTTTCTAAGTTGAGGATATTATGAGTAGTGTTTGGATAGGTGTACTGGTGTGGATATCCATCCATTTCTTTAGAGTATATACCTAGAGCATAATGAGTGGTCATAAGTTATGGGTTTTAATCATATTTAAATATTTAATGTATTTATTTATTTACTTTTTGTGAGGAAGATCAGCCCTGAGCTAACATCTGATGCCAATCCTCCTCTTTTTTCTGAGGAAGACTGGCCCTCAACTAACATCCGTGCCCATCTTCCTCTACTTTATATGGGACACCGCCGCAGCATGGCTCAACAAGCAGTGCGTAGGTGTGCGCCCGGGATCCCAACCGGCGAACCCCGGCCACCGCAGCAGAGCGCGTGCACTTCACCACTTGCCCCACTGGGCCGGCCCCCATATTTAAATATTTTAACCTAATTTTCTAAGTAGTGTTTCTATTATTTCATAGTTGTAATAACTATCATTTTACTGGATAATCTTCCATTTGTGGTTGGATTTTATAGCCTGATCTATTGTAATAAATTCACTCCTCCATTTTCTAATTTGTTCATAAAAGTGACAAAAAAATCTTAAAACTTATAGAATTTACAGCAGATATACAATCTCATGAGTTATGGTCTCCTACGTAGACAGAGAAATTTTGCTTGTTTTTTGTCATGGAAGATAATGAAGCCAATATATTTAAAATAATTTTTACGGAATTGTTTTGTATTGAGTTATATTTGACATACAACATTGTGTAAGTTTAAGGTGTACAAAATATTGATCTGATACATTTACGTTGCAATATAATTGGCACAGTAGTGTTAGCTAACACCTCTATTGCATCACATAATTCTCATTTCTTCTAATGTTGAGAACAATTAAAATCTAATCTCTTAGCAAGTTCAATGTTTATAATGCAGTTTTATTGTCTATATTCACTGTACTGTGTATTAGGTCTTCAGGACTGATCCATTAGTTGCAAGTATGTACCCTTAAACAAGATCTCCCCCATCCCCCCATTCCCCCAGACTTGTTGTTTTAAAAGCATGGTGATGGTTTGCCCTGGCAGGAAAATTCTAGAATTCAGCTTAACCTTTCTGTTAAAGGTTCAATTTTTAGCTGTATAATTCTGTAATAAGTTGAAATTAAAGTGTCATATTATCTAAAGTCCACTCTTTGACATCTCCTTCCTGACTTGGAGAGTAATTTTTGAATTTCTCCATGCAGGCTTCCTGCCCCTCCACTTCATACACTACCTCACTATCGAATAACACCTTCTGATGTGCTTTGACACAGGAACCAAGGTTGCTAAGAGACCACCTGTGCTGAATGCACTTTGTTCCAGCAAGAGCGGACAGAAGGAACACGAAGCAAGTGTTATCTATCACTACCTGAGATTAAGTCAGGTGAGACATGGGTTTCTACTCACTCTTCAATCCCCACCAGTTGTCTGGTCTTTCCTTCACTTTCTACTTCATTCTCTCTCTGACTATTTTTGGAGAAAATTGAAGGTACCCCTCAGAGTACAGACTGAAGACTCCTCTATAAGCTGGAGGCTGAGGCTATACCAGGGAAGGAAAGTCACTTTGCAAACCCATGTATTATTCTTACCCCTTGTTTCTGAAACATAGGCAAAAGGAATTGTTGAATGTAGGGGAGATTCTAGACGTTTACTTTGTCAGTGATTGCTGTGTAATTTGGGACACGTCATTCCCTCCTCTAGGAATGGGGCTAGTTATTACAGACATTAATTAAGATTGCTAAAAGTGGGAGGAGAAAACACTTGTAAAAATCTCATCTGTCTCCTCCTTTCTCATTCTCCTTCTCTCTTCAAACTCAACCTGCCTTTTTGGTTTTTGAGTGAAACTAGCAGAAAATATTTCCTTACCCCAGTCTTGCCACTTTTTAAAAGTATTGATGTTCATTTTAAATTGGGTGTATATTAGGGACTTTGATGTAAGGCTTTGAAAATTACTTGACTTATTTGACCTTGCATTCCTGAAAAAGGCTTTAAGAATGGTTCTCAACTCCCTACCTGACAGGCATTCGGTAAAATGTTCCAACAGTGTGCTAAACACCACAAATTAATACCTTTTAAAATTCCATAATACTTTTTAAATTTCCATCTGTTTTTTTAAACTGTTTGATTAACACAGAAATGTGGAGGAAATTAAATGTTTGATATCTTATTAAGTGACCAAAATATGAGGGAGAGGATCTTGAGGAAAGATCAAGGAAATGCAAAAGACCTTTTGTTGTTTAATTTTTAAAAATTTTATCACCTGACTTTTTCCATGTCTTCAAATTCTCATTTCCTGGTAATGCTCACTGTATAGATTGGAAGAATGGCAATTTCACTGATGCCAATAAAAACCATTATAAACACTGTGCAGATAAGACTTCATAAATAAACTACTGATAACATGAAAAGAGAATGGTCATTCGGATTGTGCCTTGACCCATTTCTTTAAGAAAGAAAGGCAAGTTTGGCATATAGAAAAATCTATGATTATGACAAAAAGTAGTCAAAATGAGTGGGTGAAAACTATTTTAATTCATTAGGGAGAAAAATATTTTAGTTCATTGGTTGGTTACAAATATGTACACAGTCCTGCCTGAAAGATGTTTCTTCATCATTATTTTTTTACTGTGCAAATATTAGATCGAGTTTAAAGAACCAGGCTTATAAATGTGTTCCTTTGAGGCTACTTTTCTTTTTATTTTCCCTAGGGAGCTGGAGCATTCTGGATATGACGTGTAAAAACTGGATATTAATTTCTACTACTACCCCCACAAGTCTGGAAGATGAAATTGTGGGAAGACTTCTAAAAATTTTGTTTGTTATCTTTGTTGACTTAATGTCTATTATATATGTTGTTATTACTTCTTAGAAAGCTGAACTCCCTTACTTTACATGTAAATTCCATATTGAATTCCAGTGAATAAAAATTTGTAGTTTAATGTGTTGAGTGAATTTAATTTGATGACATCTCTAATTATTCTCAAAGCCAACAGGACATTACAATAAAAACAGTATTGTGTATTGTTTAGTACTTCATGGTTTATAAAACGTTTACATAAATTGAAGCGGAATTTTTTCCCCAAAGATCCACTCTACTGAGTCATATAATTTCTTGATTTTTAGCATGATTATTATTTGGAAGGTTGACTAAACTTTGCAGGTGTAATTATAAGTGAAGTTGATTTTTTAAGGATGCACACCTATGTTAAATGTTATATGGTTCTATTTTTAACACAACAAGCTTTACATATGATAATTTTTCCATCTGATATACTAATAGTTTATATTCATTTTCTTATATAAACATTTCATCTGTGTTGGTAGATTGTTTTACTTAACCCTGAACAATTTTGTTTCTACCAAAAAAACTTAGAGTTAGGAATAGAAATACTTAAAAGAGATTCTTTTAGGAAAACAGAACTTAGAGAAGAGAAAACAGGAAGCAATCTGTGTTGATTTTGCATTTGATACTAAATGCTCACAGTATGTCATTTAACGTAAGGCTCGCAATAGCCCTAGGAGGCAGGCGTTTGTTGCCCCCATTTTACAGATGAAGAAACTGAATCTTGGAAGAATTATGTTAGCTTGATGCCATAACCAGGAAGTGGCAGAACCAGGTCTTGGGCCTTTACAATCTATAATATCATGTTGCCTCCAAAGGTTGATAATAAGAAGACAGTGTGGTTAAAAAACAATCTGTAGAGCTCAACTTCTTTTCAAAGTAATGTTTCATTCAAGATCCTATGGCTGTATTTTAGTGTACCCCCATTTATTGCTATTTCATATTTAAAATCTTTTATCAAGAAGAGAGATTAAGTTTACCCTTTTCTCATATTCAGCTTGACAATGCATTTTCTTCCCCTGTTTTCTTGATTCCCTCATGTTCGACAGAGTTAAAACATAACTGTTGAACTTCTGCTTTTTTTTGTAACTAGTAATATATTTGTTTACTTTATTGAGGTAACGTTGGTTTATAACATTATATAGATTTCAACTGTACATCATTATAATTTTAAGCTTTGGAAAAACCAGGGTCTCTCAGTGCTTTAGACTTCTTCACTTTTTACGTTGGACACATATGCTTCACAAAACTCTGATTTCTTCCATGTGATGATCATCTTCTCAGACTTGCCCCAATCATTAATGTAAGGTTTCATAAGAGATGTAATGATGTGTGAAAAGAATCTGGGACCTTTGAGACTTAATACTTAACTGACGCTTACTTAACCTTTCAGTGGCATTGTATATTTAACCATAAGCCAAATAGAGTCAAACTATTTGAGCATTTGCTGTAACAGAAAGTCCTATTTCTTTTTCTACACTGTATTGTCGGACCTGGACACTTCCTTTTGGATATAAAGGTCATCTCCTGTTAATGTGATCTATTTCTCCACAATTCCTTCTATTTGGGGTTTGTTGGAGCCTATTATCAGGTGACAAGGGAGTAAAGTCACTCCCATCTTCAGGCAACTGTTTCTTTTCCCTATGTGCTTCTAGTAGACAACATGGTTAGAAGTATCGACTCGGAAGTCGGACTGCCTGAGCCCAAATCTTGGCTTCACCTCTTACAGTTTAATAACCCTCTGTCTCCACTTCTTTACCTATAAAATAAGTGCCTGTGACATAGGTTTGTAGAGAGGATGAAATGAGATGACTGGTGCAAAGTGCTTAGCACAGTGCTTGACATATGGAAAACTGACAGTCCATGGTGGATTGGTGTTATCAGCATCCTCAGGTGGCAGCAGAGGTGATGTGGCTCCCTTCGAGCTAAGTGTCAGCAAGCCTCAATCAGCTTACCTGTTCTCCTCTTCCCCCTTGCCCTATAACCTCGCATTAACCCATCCCATTGGCCCGAGGAGGTGATTGTGTTCCATTGGACTCGGGCATAGTTCTGCTAGAGGTGTAGGTCTAAACTGGTTGACACTGCAGGGCTTCTTGAGGTTATGTTATTTTGGGACCTGGCAATTACAACTAGACATCATAATGTGGATACTTGATAAATACGCTTTTTCCATAAGTAATCGGAGTCTTAATAGGCAAGTGTTGTGGCTTTGTAATTGGAAATAGGTCACTTTTCCTTCACTTTTCAAAAATACTTGTTCAGTTCTGTTTAGTTCCTTTTTGCCAGGCATGGTGCTGGGCAGCAAGATCAAAGCAGTGAACAAAGCATAGTTCCTGCTCTCCTGGAGTTCATGAGACTGACTACCCAAACGATGCAATTGCAATTGGGGAAGTATTAGGAAGGACCTGCCCAGGGTGTTATGAGGGGTATGGCGATGGTTGTTCTAAAGACTATAGTAGCAGCAACTCCTGTGAGTCCGTTGAACACACAGAATCCTACTTCACCCCAGACCTACTGCAGAATTTGCGCTGTAATCAGATTCCCAGTGATTCACATGCATGCTACAGTTTGAGAAACACTGATGTGGAGAGAAGCTCATTGGACTATGTGTTTCTACTGTCTGGCTACTGAACAACTATGTGACGTCTGGGCAAGTTTCTTAGCCTCTCTGGGTCTCATACTCCTCCTGTGCTAAAACAAAGCGGAATGAAGAAAAAACCAAAAACAGCATTAATACTACCTGCTTTGCATATCACTTAGAAATACTGTGAATATTAAACGTATTGGACTGAAACTTACATGAAAATGTATAACAGAAAGGAGTTATGTAAATCTAAGATGTGAATATCAAGAAGACAAGTGTAGCTCTGTGAACTAAGAGACCTGTGACTACCTTCAGGAGAGTTGGAAAAGGATTGTTTGCATATATAGCAACCATATCCACAGCATGTCTGTGGATGTGGGTTAGGTACATTTTTCCTCAGGTGGATTTCCGTGGAGTTTCATAGAACACAATGTCCACATGCGCAGTTATAATCAACCCTCCACCTGAACTGGATGGTGTTTCTTAACTTGCCACTAGCAGATATGTATTGTCTGGCCATGCCTGAGCTCAGGTATCTACATTCAGTTAATTTCATAATCTCTCTTGGTATCAAGTGGCCTTACATCCTTCCCCATTTTGTGGTCCCTTGAAGAAATTATTCTGAATCTGAGAAGAGAGGTCAGAAAATGTCTACTAGAATCCTTATTTATAAATGGCACTACCTGGAATTGAAGTTCACTGTGCTAAGGGTTTTACATACATTGCAAAATTTAATCTGTACTCACAAATCTATGAGGTATTTCCATTTTGCAGATGAGGAGATGCTGGCTCAGAGGAATTAAGTAAAATGCCCAGGTTCACCCAGGGCATCCTGACTGTGGTGACACAGCTTGGAAGTGAGAGAAGCAAGACCCTTAACCCAAAACCATCTGCCTCTAGAATTCTGTTCTTAACCATTCAGTTACTTTGTCTCATACCAAGCAGAAGTCAATTACCTCACTGGCTCCTCACTTGGAAGGCAAGAAGTCTGCCCTACAATGAAGCATCACAATCCTACATTCATGGATTCAATGAGTAAAATGCAACCTGTTGCATATACCCTAAATGTGTCATGAAACCTTGCAATGTGCTGACTACCCATCTTACAGGTAACCCTTTCTCTTTTCTAAGGCTTCAGTCTGTGATAAAATGACATAAGTATCTCCAGTCATTGAGTTCCATTGTTTTGTGTTATCAAATATGAAGTCAGGCTTTATAAAAGGGAGTCTTGGCTCATTGTTCTGCATTCAATATATGAAGAAATTTAAATTGTGTCCATAAAATCATTTAATGTGAATTTTTTGGTAGTTGAAATATCTCAAATACCATTTTTAGCAAATTGTTTCCAAAGAACTCACAAGTAACATCCTGGTAAATGTGCCAATTGCTTGGGCTTAATAAAAACACCTTTTGAGTGTCAAGCTCTCTACAGTTTATGAAGCATTTAGTGATTCTTTAAGTGTTCACTTGATGAGATGACTTACAATAAAAATAAGACAGATAGCCATTCTGAGTTAGGATGGAAAGTTCCTAACTCTGGGGCATGATTAGGATAAACCGCTCCTACAGAGACTGGGGTCAGGGTTTGAGAGAGGATTTTATTTTTTTTAATTTTTTAATTTTTTTAAATTTTATTTTCCCCCCAAAGCCCCAGTAGATAGTTGTATGTCATAGTTGCACATCCCTCTAGTTGCTGTATGTGGGACGTGGCCTCAACATGGCCAGAGAAGCGGTGCGTCGGTGCACGCCCGGGATCCGAACCCGGGCCACCGGCAGCGGAGCGTGCGCACTTAACCACTAAGCCATGGTGCCGGCCCATGAGAGAGGATTTTAAATGTGTGGTGTTTGTGTGACCATATAGACCAGGTGTTTGTTCTGGGTTGCTCTCTGCATAACAGCTATTTGCTGACCTTACTGGAAGCAGTCCTAACTGAGCAAGCTGAGGGCGAGTTGCCATGTAGGCCAGTCTGGGATCAGCAATAAGCCCAGACTTTATTTATAACCCACGGGAAAGGTCCCTGAGTGTGCTCTGCCACCTCACCTGGGACCATGGTGAGGGAAGATTAGTATGAGAGCACAGAAAATCCTTGGTGGCCAACAGGGTTTTCAGTTTGAGCCATTTGCCCTTTGTCCAGGAGGTGGCTACAGACTGTTCTCTGGGTGATCTGTGTCCCCGGAATTCTGTACAAGGTGTGATCTCAAGGTACAGAGACTGACCTTTTGAGTGTTGCTTACGAAGTTGATTACGACTTGCATCACGGAGATCATTTACTCAATAAACATTTATCAAGCACTCACTGTCAATCTGGTAGCGTTGTAGGTACAGGGAAATACTGTGGTTCCTGTCCTCAGGGAGCTTGCCTTCTGGTGGGGGAAGCAGACAAACTGATAAACACATGAGAATTTCAGATAGTGCTAAGTGCTGTGGAGAAAATAAAACAGAGCAATGAGAGAGAGAGAGAGTTTATGTGGGGGAAGAATATTGTATCTAGGAGCATCTAAGAAATCT